AAAGAGAGAAAGTAATCCCTCTCTCCCCATGGGGAGTGGTCACGCTGTAATCCCTTCTCCATTTCTCCCTCCATGCAGGATTTGGGGCACACATGCACATACGCCAGGCATGTTTCTCATGTTGCTGGGTCTGAGACTTGAACTGTGCACTTGGCCATGTGGGATCCAGCTGCCTCAACCACCCCAATGCTGGCTGGCCCCAGGAGAGCAGAGGCTCAGTGGACGTCCTGGTAAATGTTTCCATGTGTTTGTACCTGGAGAACCGTGATCCGGATCAAGATACAGAACATCTCCGGCACCTAGGAGCCTCTCTCATGCTCACCCTGAGTTCTCTTCCTCAGGTAACCACTACCCTAACCTCCGTCACCACTGAGTACTTTGTGCTGGTTCTGAATTTCATATAAGTGAATTATAATACAAGGGGGTCTTCAAAAAAGTTCACAGAAATGCACGTTAGAAAAAGAAACTATGAATGAATTTCAAAAATCTTTTTTTTTTTTTGGAGAGATTTTTGCTATAGGGCGCGTGCGCTCGCCAGACAGACAGAGAGAGACATAGAGACAGAAAGCGAGAAATCACCCCCCAGGGGGGATGGTCACACCGCAATCCCTTCTCCTCCATTCTCCTCTCGGGATCTTGGGCACACACGCACATGCGCCCAGTGTGAGTTTTAAGCCACCGGGTCCAGGACGCGAACGGCGGTCGACTACGTGGGAGTCCAGCGACATAGCCATTACGCTAACTGCTGGTTCCCTGAATTTCAAAAATCTTTTGCACTAAAATAAACTTGTACTTTAATTCTATTTTCCATGTACTATTTTTTAAAATAATTATTTATTTATTCTTTTTTTATTTTTATTTTCATTTTCAATTTGACCAGAGAGAGACAGAGAGAGAGAGAGAAAGAGGGAAAGTGAAAAAGCAAGCCACTAGGTCTGGGACTCAAACCGTGGTCAGCCACGTGGGAGTGTCCAGCACCTTAACCACCACGCCACCTGCTGGTTCCATCTGTAAACTATCTGAAGCCCTCTTCTACGTGTCTCTGGCTTCTTTCACTAGATATTATGTTTGTGAGACTCATTCATGTTGTCATGTATAACAGTGGCTTTTCTTTCTTTTTTTTCTTTTTAAATTTTGTTACAGGGTGTGTGCATTCACCAGAGAGAAAAGGGGAAAAAGTGAAAATTCATTCGCCAGGGGGTTGGCATATGAGGGATTTTGCAATTGCTTCTCCATTCACTCCCCAGGGATTCTAGGCATGCATGCATATGCACCTGGTGTGTTTTCCAAGCTGCCAGATCTGATACTGAAACCACATAGTCAGTCATGTGGGGTCCAGCCATCTTAACCACTAGCTGGCCCACTAACAGTAGTTTGCTATTTTTCATTGCTATGTAATATTCCAGTGCATAGATATACCATCATTATTTACTCATTCTCCTGTTGATGGATATTTGGATTGTCCACAGATTTTAGCTATAAAAAAATAGCTGTACATATTCTCATCCATGCCTTTTGGGGAACATACTCATTTTTCTTGACGATATACCCAGGAGTGGAATGGCTGGGCCACATGCTCTTCTGTGTTTGATTTTAGTACATACTGCCAAGCAGTTTTTCAAAATGGTTATACAAGAACCATCACTCTTGTTTAGACTCAGACTGGTTGGAGAAATATTTTTCTTTGTGCTTGGTGGGTTGCAAAGATTTTTCCTTTGCCAGGAAATGGAATTTAGAATGTCAACTCGATACTCCGATTGAAACCTCAGGCTGGAAACCAGGAGCTACAGTCCTTGTGACTCTTTAAATCAATTGATTAAAACCAGATTTGGGAAATAATAAATACCAAATTGAAAACTGTCCTCTAATCTCAGACTTGCCTTCCTCACGAGGACCACCCATGTTGCCCCAGCCATTCAGCAAATCCTTACCAAGACTTTTCTTCCAGACTTCGTGAAAAAAGCAAATATCGTGTGGAAGATATTTTCCTGTTCCTGAGGGATGATGCAGGGGGTTGGGTTTTTCTGGAAAGAGCAGTTTCCCTTCTCTTGGCCCACCTGAAAATAAACAGAGGCCCGTCAGAGTGATCGGTCCCAGGAGTGGATCATGAGCCTGGAGTCCCCTGTTGCAGAGGGAGTTGCAGAAGAACCAATAACCACCTTCTCCGTTTTCCAGTGAATGATAATGACAGAAAGCTGGACAGCAGAGGTTGTAGCATCAACAGAGCCTTGTGGACTTGTTTTTTAATTGTCAGAGGGCCCATATGCTCACCAGACAGAGACAGAGACTGGAAGCACCCCCCACACATAGTGGGGTGTGGTCATGCCAAATCCTCTCT